CTTTTTCAATAAAGGAGTGAGATTCCAATGAGGGGTTTTATCTAAGGCAATGTGGATTTGAAAGAACAGGTGGGCTGACCATGTAAATGAAAGAAAGAGGCAACAGGTGAGCAAAACGATCTGCTGAATGGAACCAAAAACAACACCAAAGCCAGCATCACAAGGGGGGTCAGTAAAATTAAAGGATTGAACTGTGGTGAAGAGAAAAACGGTTGCATCGATGGCGAGAAGGAAAAATGATTATGAAGCAATAATAATCAATCGATTAAAGCATCAGATTAGAGTGAATCAGCCGCAAGTGAAAAACATTCTTCCAATATTTTAATGTGCAAGTGTGTAGGCGTCAATAATTAAAGCAGTCTCACACAGCAAAATCCGCGCCTGTTATGAAAAATTGCGTTTGAAGCTCTAAGCGAGTGGAGGAGACCTGGCCGACCTGACCTAATAAGTCATCTAGGCGCGATTAAGAAGTTTTTCCTTGGATTTCACATCAGACATAATACAGGCTTGCCAACATGCATAAACAAATAGTTTCTACATCCTTTTAAAAATACCAGAAGATGGAATGTTTTAAATATTTTGTGGGGGAAAACTTGGAGAAATAAGGAAGTTTTTGTAAAAAATTATTAATGAACGCCTTTTTATCGAAATTAAAGGAAATCAGAAACAAAAACTATTGGTGGCGGTGGCAACCACAAAAACTTGGCTTCAAATGCCTTCGATATCAGAATATTTAAATGTTTTAATCGACTGCGAGGTACATCCTGGTGTGATTGACGCCTTAGCCCATACAGACTCCGGGGCAATTTTTAAAGTCTCTAGTTCTGCTTAGCCCGCTTTTTTGGAAATATCCAGTTTTTTTGAATAACTGAAAAGACAAGAAAGCAATCGAAATCATTAGCGTCGGGTGGTGCAGCACAGCATGCAAAGAAACCCATGGTACTTCGAAATATTGCGCACTGACTAACAGCAGCAACGTGAGAACAGGCAAAAGAAAATTTCTGTCCTGGAAAAAGAACCATCGATCGGTGAGCCCAGCTCACTGAAACTGCGCAAATTACCACGAAATTAAAAAAAAAAAAAACGGACTATTACAATGAATTTTTTTTAAACGTCGGAAATAAGAAAAAAAAACCTTCACAATGGTGTGCAAATCAGGCAGAGTGAACGGGAACTCGCCATCCGAATCCGAATCTGATTCCTCAAGAAGCACATCCTGGAGCCATTTCCGTTTACGCAATGTTTTGAAATTGTACAGCTCACTAACAGCGGCTTTCCGTTCTTCATCGGTTGGCCAGATGGAGCGCACCGAAAACATGCCGACCATATTTTGTCGTGCTTTAATCGGCGAACCAGGATATGGCAGAATCGATGTTCCCGGGATCCTAAAACTATAAAGGAGTTTAGCCACCAAAAGAAAAATAACTGCAGAAGACTCGTTGAGCCTTCCTCTCACGAGTCACA